TTGAAATAGTCCTTTAGCTAATCCCATCTCTGCTGGCTGATCCCTGGCCAGGGAACACCTTGGGATCTCCCAGGAAGACTTGGAAGAAGTGGGTGGGGATAAAGATGCCTGGGTTACTGTGTTACCTTTCTTAGTCTGCTGCCAGCATAGCCCAATTCTGGAGCAGCAGAAAACGGAGCAAGGGGTGGATAATTCCATCCCTGTGAATGTGATTACTGACAGCTACTGAGGCCAGATTAGCACTGCCATAAGTCCTGGAGTTCCCAGGGTCAGACCCAGTTCACCATGATGTGGAGGGATGAGGGTTTAGGACGATGGCATTATACTGTAGTTTCAATAGATACTGTAGTTGCAGCCAAGAAATTTGATTAGTTCTGCACGCGTCCTACCACCAGTACTTGTAAAATTATGAGTTTATAAAACACACCAGGAACAAAGCATGTCTGTAGGACTTGTATCTAACCAAGCACTCAAGAAAAACATGGACAGCATGCAACTGGTTGCAGCTGTTTTGTCTCAACCCTAGGTCTAAAGTACTGAAAAATATCAGTCAATGAAGCAGAAACTGTACAACGGACCTGCAAACCAATGATAATTATAGTGGTTATTTTTCTCAAGGATAAGTGTATTGAGATCATACCACTGATCTATCTTTGAAAACAAAGTTGTTTAATTACATTTCAGCCAGAAAACTGCCTTCACTTAAAAAGTGGCAAGTAACAAGTCATAAGTAATAGAATAATATGTCCTTCACATGAAATTGGTTCGAACTCTGATAATAATAATAAAGATAATAATGCTGCCACACAATAAAAATAAAACATTTGTTCTGTCCATAGAAATTGCTCTTAGGTTATATTTGCAGGTTGCCTGTACATAGACTTTAAAGTGTGCTTTAAAATAATAATAATCTTTATTTATAAAGCACTTTTTAAAATCCATACTACAAAGTGCTTGCCATGGCAGACATAAAATCAACTGGTTTCATAGAAAAGAAAAACCGACAAAGTAATTAGGTGTATAAAAACCAATACAGAGTCATTTAAAAAGAAAAACCAGGTCAAGGGAAAGTAAAACCTAAGTAAAATCAGGAACTCCAATAAAAAAATGTTTTAAGAAGGGATTAAAGGAGGTCACAGACTCAGCAAACCTGATTTTCCTCAGGCAGATCGTTGCCCGGCCTCGGGACCCAAACACTCTGTCACCTTTGAATAACATAAAACAACATAACAATAAAACAGTGAACACAGTTACATATTTCCGTGCCTGTCAATGGCATGAATAAGACACTCCATAGGGCAAAATAGTTTGCAGAAGTACAATTGGCAAACCCTCACCTGTACAAAAAGGAACACATGTGCAACAGACATCCAAAGCCCCGCAGTACAAAATGCACAGCGTCCGGTTCAAAGGATTTAGTTGTTCCTACACCAGCAGTAGCAACCCAGAGGCGAGTTAACCATGTTTTTAGCACACAACCCCAATATGCCATACATATTGTTTTCGGGGTAACACCATTGACAAGGTTTAGTGCTTGGGACTGATAACTATATTAAGCTGACACACATACACACACACACACACAGACACAGCAACACTGCTTCCTTTTCTCATCTAGTAATTGAAGGTGAGAAATAATTTCATTATCCTCAGGAAGAGTAATCTGCTCTCTACTCCTGATCCCTTCATTTCCTACAGTGCACCTCAACCTGGGAGGCAAACACACACCAACAGGCACCGCATACTTATCACACATGCATGCGCACACATGCACAAACACACAGACACAAACACCTTGCACACATTGCTCCTGTCACCCTGGGCTATTAATGTTATTGGAGTTGGGGATTAACCATCAGATTCACATATGCTTTTCAAAGCTTTATTACTTAGTGCTGTCTGTCTTGCTCTCTCTTGCACACATGAATGTGTTCACACTCACCTGCACACACACAGGCACATAACTTTCGTGGACAGAAACAGGCTCTGAGTAGAGGATATGACAACATGGCAAAGCATATCAGGTTTTAGCACTTTACATGATTGTGAATGGACTAAACAATGTTATCTGGTATTATTATTCTTGATATCATAATCACAGATGGCCTTGAGGCATCTTGGTTTAACACATACAGATGTGCACTCTCTTTTAGGGATGTGTAGACACCCCAAAATCCCCTAATCCTCCCCCTGTGGAGATGATAGATTAACTCAACCCACACAGCTCACATATTAGAAGCCACTCATGACTTGTAGACATCATCAGAAATCAACAGCAGGACGAAAACCGAAAGAAACTGCAGATGCATGTGTGTGTGAGGATCACCATTTTTCCTCTTCTGCTTATGTTGTTAGATGGTGGATCACACCCAGTTTAATGTTGCATTACCACCCTCTACTGTTCATCTACCCAAGATGCTTTGGGTGGCCACTTGATGTCAAGTGTCATGGTGACACACATCTGTGGACATAGTGGGGAGGGGCTAAAGTGTCATTTCACAGGGCAAAGGTTTGTGTCGGGCTGCCATTATGTTTCACATGAGCAAGCAATCTGAAGGGGAGGGGTCACAGTTAACAGGGGGGAGGGAAGAATCATGATGCAGCTTCAGACACACATTACCCCCCACACACACACAGTTTAGAGGAGTCCCAATTCCACTTACACATATAAGACTTGACAACAGCATCTAAAATCTGCATTACGATGAATTGACAAATGTAACAATGAGTATTTTTTAACTTCATCAATACACGACATTTCCTTCATTGTGCCATCTTACTTTTTATGTGTCTGGATTAACTACACTATGATGAGTTAAAGCATGAACCGGCTCTTCAGTTGGTTTATTAGTTGTTAGTTGTTTTTATTTCATAAGCTCAACTATATTGGATACAGGCAATTTATTTGTTGAAAATTTGGATTAGAGTAAATTTAGCAATAGAGATTTTAATGTTGCTTATTTAATGAATGTGGTTCATTGTTTAGCCTCACAAGGTTATAAGGTTAGGGATGTTCTGTATTCTTTTTCTTGTCCAAAACCATCAACAAGCCACACCACTGCACTGGATGACAATTTACTTTGACTTAATTTCCCATGAACCATTCTGCTGCTGTAGATATTCCTTATTGCACCAAATGTTTATTGATTCTCACTGAAAATACTTCCCAACAAATGCACTGCTTACTCCGTTTTGTCTAACATTTGCCAAAACTTGCGGTGTGACCATCGTACTTGGCCCTTTAAAAAAAAAACAATTAACCTTTGCCCCATTTTTAGAGATTAATGTCTTTAGTAGTAACAAATCCTTTAAATATCCTTTAAACACTTACTCAGTGAGAATAAAATATCTAAAATTATGAAACATGATAAAAGAAAAATATTTACGTGAACGTGATGTGTTTTGTGTGCTGTGAGACAAGCACTTGGCTGAAGGGGAGTAACAGATGAAATTCAAAATGTCACATTATTTAAGCCTTATATGTCTTGACATTCTGTAGACACATAGTATAGCTACTCTTGCTGTCAATGTATTTGTATGTGTGTGTGTGCATGTGCTATATGTGTGTGTGTGTGTGTGTGTGTGTGTGTGTGTGTGTGTGTGTGCTGTCAGGCCAAGACGTAGAAAGCGTGTTTTTTTCTAATGGGGAAAAGGAATATTTGGACATTTTATCAATAGGCATTATTAAATCCTGCTTGCTTGAGCTAATCTTGGCGGACCGGAGCGAGAGGGAAGAGAGAGAGCTTGAGCGAGCGAGAGAGATAGACACAGAGAGGGAGAGTGAGAGAGCAGTGATGTCTGCCCCATGAGGTGAAGAGAGACCGCCTGTAAGCTGCTTATTATATCGACTACCACCTTTTCTCTCTCCTCCTCTAACCCTCCCTTCCTGCCTCCCCAGTTTTCTCTTGTTACCTCGCTCATTTTCTATCTCTGTCTCCCTCCCTCGCTCGCTTTCTCCAACTCATTCTGTATCCCCTTATTCTTTTTTCTCAACAACTCCTTCATATAAACACAGACACACACACATACACACACGCACACATATAGATGTATATGCGCAGACACACACAGACGGCGCCAAGCTGAACCTTCTTGTTCAAAGCCAGGAGCAAAAAGCTGAAGTTTTATTCAAATGAATGTTTACTTCTTCTACTGCCAAGATGTGTGTATTTGTCTGTGTGTCTGTGTGTGTGTGTGTGTGTGTGGGTGTGTGTGTGTGTGTGTGTGTGTGTGTGTGGGTGTGTGTGTGTGTGTGTGTGTGTGTGTGTGGGTGTGTGTGTGTGTGTGTGTGTGTGTGTGTGGGTGTGTGTGTGTGTGTGTGTGTGTGTGTGTGGGTGTGTGTGTGTGTGTGTGTGTGTGTGTGTGGGTGTGTGTGTGTGTGTGTGTGTGTGTGTGTGTATTTATGTGTGTGTGTTGAGAGAAAGGGAAAATAGCAGCAAGTATGCAAGTGTGTGTGTGTGTGTGTGTGTGTGTGTGTGTGCGTGTTAGTGTGTGTTACATGCACAGCAGAAGGAGAAGGGCTGACAGTAGGTGATAAGCCAGACAGGCCTGCACGCTGTGATTATCACCCACCGGACCCCCTGTCACACACACACACACACATACACACACACACACACACACACACACACACACACCCTTGTATAGACAGTGCCCAATGAGAGAGTGTGTTGCAAGGATTTAGGATAGACAGACGGACAGACAGACAAACAGAGACAGAGAAGCCTTGGATCACAGGCAAGGTGGAAACCACAAGAGAAGCAAATGAACACAGACTGGAAATGACAATGAATCCAATTATGTTTCACTGAACGCTCATTGTTTCTATTTCACTTTTCTATCAATATTAATGTGTTTTGATGTTTAGACACGGGAATCAAAGCAGGGTGTCACACTAGAGACGCTCGATAAATGTTTGCAAATAAATATCTGTTGCTGAAATGTAACATCAGTCGGGCGTTATGAGTGAATAACCCTGTGTTGGTCTCTTTTTGACTTAGGTGTGTGGCCGTCTGAAGAGGTGATGGCTCATTACTGCCTGCAGAAACATCACATGTTCAAGTGAGTTATGCCTCTCTTTTAACTTGCTCACTCCATCGTCCTCCACAAAACAAAGACAAACAGCTGTGATCAATTACATACATGTAGATTAGAACATGTATGTTCTAATCTTGTTTTTAATGTTGTATATAAACTTTTGTTTAGCATGTTGGGGTACATTATTACCTAATTCAGATTTCCCACAAGAGTTTTTCATTTTTTTGTAAGAGTTTGACATCAGTAAAACATTTACCACCTAAATTTAGAGATGTTTTTGTTATTGTGAGCAAGTCAGAAAGATGCTTGGCAGCGCATAATGGCCTTCTTTCAACCATGTTTTATTTCACATGAAACTTGCTGCATGACAGGAAATTGCTTTATGATACAAAACAGGGAGAGGGCCATCATTCTTCCGGCGCAAAATTATTACAACTACCAGTAGAGAAAGGCTGGACAACTCGCTTTGAAAATGTTTCCCCTCTTCAGCAAAATTAAAGAGAAAATTGAAAATACAAATTACTATCAGTGAGGTGGAGGGAGGTGAAGTTACAACGGCCTGGGAAATACTAACAGATAGCTGTTGTGAGATAAAGGTGTCCATTTCATATTTTATCGAATATAATTACACCAAAATATATCAATTCTTCTACATTCCATTGTTAATCTACGTCATTGAGACAGTAAGTTTAAAAATTTTGTTCTCAGAGAACCAGTCAGCGCCACCTCTTTACTGGGAATCCCTCTCATTTAAATGTGACTGGGACCCGCCGTAAAGGATTGATACCAGTGTCGCTCTGTACCTTTCCATGCCACGCTGCGTTGTTCTGTGCTGCTCTTTCGCCTGCTCCCATCTGCTGAGCACTGGCCTGCCCTGCAGCACAGGGCTGAAAAGCACCCAGGCACCTTTGATTTCCACTCAAGGTGGAACATCAACCTTTGATTTCCTGTTTTAACATTCAAGAGGCGGGAGGCGAGGAAGAGAGGGGTATTGATCAGAGCAGCATAGTGAAGGTCAGAAAGAGAGGGAGGGAGGCAGGGAGGGATGAAAGAGGACAGGGGTAGAGATGGAGGGGAAGGGGAGATGAAAGGAGGAAGAGGATGGAGAGAGGGGTTGAATGAGCATGCAAGCTACAGGATTCTGTGTGTGTGTGTGTGTGTGTGTGTGTGTGTGTGTGTGTGTGTGTGTGTGTGCGTGCGTTTGCGTGTGTGAGAGAGAGTGAGTGTGTGTTTTCTCAGATTTCCTGCTGATTGAGCTTGTGCTTCTCAATGTTCAGTATTCAGCTTTCAGGTTGATGGTTGAATTGATATTTCTAACCCTGCTGTGTTTACCGTGTGTGTATGTATGAGTGTGTATATGTACATCTGTGTGCTTCCACTGTAGAGCGTGTGTGTGTGTGTGTGTGTGTGTGTGTGTTACCACTTAAATTTTGAAACATTTTGAAACTGCTAGGTTTGGCTCAGCAAGGTGAATCTCACTCCCACTCGTCTCTCTCTTCTTCTCTGTGTCTCAGGGGTGCAGTGTGTGAGTTAGGGGGAGGTATGACTTGTCTTGCGGGGCTCATGGTAAGTGACACACACACACACACACACACACGCACAAAGACACACACTCAAACTTTTAGAGAAGTGACTTGGCTTCCCTAATGAAACTGTCCGTCACCAGTCAATACACAGATAACATGTGCCTCCATACCTGTTCATATCCAATATCATTCATTTTTTGTGTGCCTGTATATGTCACGAGCATACACACTTCATACTCTTTAGCCACATTAACAGTTGGTCATATATCACTGAAGTCACATTCACAGAACATCTTATGCCTATAGCTCCTCCATGGTTGAATAACTCCTAAAATTATGAGTTGTCTCCCAAGTCTAGGAATAATTTACAAAGCATGTTAGTACAGAAACAAGCTCCTAAATCTGTAAAAAGTTGGAGGTAATCCAGAGGATTTCTAAATTGGGAAGACCTTGTTGTTTTACTACTTTTGGCAATTGTCACCAAAAGTGGCTCCATGATTTCAAAAATTATAAGAATGACCTTTTTCAAGAGGGTTTTATTAAGTAGAACTATAAGTTAAAGGTCTACTGTGTCATATGCGAGGATGACAGACATTGCTAAATTACCTTGTAGTTGCTATGATTATGAAGATGTGTTAGCAGGAATAAATATCAGTTTCAACAAGCACACAGCTGCTGGATGGATTCTGGAGTATACTTAACCCTGTTGCCAAGTTTCAAGGCTGAACTTCCAGTATCCTGGGAGGCTTCATGTCCTTGGTGGACCGCAGTGGTGGGAGACAGTCCCAGCTCCCATGTCACATCCACACTTTTAATTTATTACACTGTGTGTAAGATCACATATTATTTGATTATTTTCTTTATCAATTAGCTTTCATTTGTATTCTCTTTTGGATTATATTAATACCTTGATTGTTAATATGGCAACAGGGCTTCCACCTCTTACTGCTGTATTTCTATCATGAATCAAGCAACGCAGAATCAGCCAAGGCCATTCATTAAAGACAATATTATCCATAACAACAAGGTCAACCATACTTTTTCTCAGAGACAGAGTTTTCTACTCGGTAAAAGGTTTCATTTTGGTAGACTCTATGATAAGATAAAATACTTTGTCAATGTGCTCCAGGATTTCTTTCAATACCAGGCTATAGAAAGAATAGCCATGTAAAACCCTGTGTGAATATATGGCAGTTTAGATGTTGATTGTGTTACATGTGGCCGTAGTGTTTAACTATTTTAGATTTTCTGAACTTGAAAAATAGTGTAATGTGTTCGGATGTGACGCCAGTTTTTAGGATAAATTAAAGATTATTTTTGCACATATTATAAGTTGAATATATGCCTTTTTTTCTTTATCAACATACACACACACACACACACACACACACACATACAGTCGCACAACCACCCAGGTAGCGACATCTAGCTATATGGACTAGCTAGGGGCTTAAAAGCTGTCCTGCATTGACATCACAAACACACACACACACACGCACACACACACACACACACAGTGACACACTCAGATATACCTCAGTCTGTTAGCCATAGGGTTTATTAGCCAGGGTCTTAAGGGCCCCTCCACATAGCAGGCGTCAGTGTCCCATCGATCCGTGTGTGTACGTGTGTATGTGTGTGTGTGTGCGGCGCGTATGTGTGTGTGTGTGTGTGTGTGTGTGAAAGCCTGGTTTTATCTCCTGGCAGTCAATACACCATGTTTTGACATTGGTGGCTTGAGATGGAATCCTTCCTTCACACCTCTCCTTCTCCTCCTCCCTCCTTCATCCGTCACTGACACCACATTCAAGATTTTTTTTTCTCTGCTGTCCACGTGAACAGTTAATTAATTATTCCTTTAGTTGCTGCATTTTGTCCCTCCCTTCCACCCTGCTTCTTGTCATTCACTCACCTGCTGCTTAAATTCTTTATTTTTACGTTCTACATCATTTTCATACCCTGATTTCATCTCCTCATTCCCTTCTTGCACATCCCGCAGGAGTGTCATGTTAAACTGCACTCTAGAATTTGAGATAATATTAGATAATTAGATTAGATAATTCTTCATCTAATGGTGATGATGTAGACCAAAGGCTTTTAAACCTTGAGGTGTGTCTCCACACAGGGGCATGGGAGACTTGCAGGGGGTTTGACAAGAGACACGTCTGTGTGTGAGCTGCAGCAGCAGACACACAGCCCCTGGCAGCAGTTAAGGTACTTTGAAACTCTTAACACCCCACTGCCTCAATTTGCTTAAAAAATTGTACTCCCTCTCAGTCAAATCTGAACACACAGCCGTAATATAAATATTTTTAGATTCAATATGATCTAAACTTTCCAACTATATTATTACTGTATCTCAGATGATCTGTGCAAATAAACATCCTCAAATTTTCTTCAGAAAATAAGAAATCAGAAAAAAACACTCCTTAAAATTCCAGAAAATCATGATCCACAGTACCGTACCACATGCAATCAAATGAAGATACTTTAACATTTGTAGCCTTATCCTCAAATTAGATAAATGAAGCCTCTCTTGGCAGACTTCAAAGCTCATGTCCTGGTCATTTCTTAATCATGGTTAACCCCCTTGAACCCTGGCTATCTACTGTGCTTTGAAAGCTACCATCTATCTCTCACAGTTTGCACTGATAAGCCTGACGGAGGTTTTAGTCCAACCTGGAGACATGGCTCTTTGGCAGGTCAGTTGGTCCGTCCATGACTTGGGTCCAAACTGACATAGCTCAAGAACTACTGGATGGATGGCCATGATATTTTGTTCAGACGTTCACGGTTCCCAGAGAAAGAATCTTAATAATCTTATTGATCCGTTCATGACCTTGCTCCACTAGCAGGTCATTTTTTTCTCTTATTCAGTGAAATATCTAAACATTGGTGGATTGGCACAAGATTTGCTTCAGAGCATGGTCATGGTTCCCAGGCAATGTATTTTAACAGCTCTGGTCTGATCCTCCAACTTTTCATCTAGTGCCAACAGCAGGCTGACAGTTGTGGTTTGGAGTGAAATATCTCGACAACTATCGGATATATCTCCATGAAAGTTGGTACAGACATTCATATTTCCTTAACTTAACTTTGCTGATGTCTTAACTTTTCCTCTAGTTCCACCATTAAGTCAAAATTTCAATTTGTTCAGTACTATATAATACAAGTTTATGCCCAAATACCTGCAAAACTAATGCCATTTATGATGATTTATGATTAGTGCCAATTAACAAACTCTCTCCCGACAGATCCGCACAGCGTCATCTCTGGACATTTACAAAAAACTACTGAAAACCCACCTGTTCACCAAGGCCTATGGCCTCTAGCTCACTCATCTCCTACAGTCTCCTCCAGTTATTGCCTTCCCTATTCTGTCTCGTCTTGTTTTCAATTATTTGTTTTATTTATTTATTTAGTGTTTTATTACTCTGTAAAGCGGCCTTGGGCACCTTGAAAGGCACTATAAAAATCTATGTAATTATTATTATTAGCAATATTATCACTATTATTATATTGGCATTTCGCTCAAAGAAAGTTCATGAGTTCATTTGAAGTTATGATACACTACTTAACTAGATTAAATAGGACTATGGGACTCTGTGTGTGTTCACAATGCCTCAAACTCCAAAGCCAGAAAGCTCACTCCCTCAAACGCTACTGATCTGTAAACTCTGTGAAGAATAAAGCAAATCTCAACATGACCATTAGAATCACATTTACCACTGAACTGTGCAGCTTTTAGACCAAACTTAATGGCAAATACTTAAAACTATTACACGAGACGGCCTGAATACCTCAAGTCAAGGTTCATAGCACTGTAATAATTGAAGCTGAGACAATTGCACTGATCTGCAACGACACACTTATTTTCTCCGTTAATAACTTGGCTGTCAAGTTCAAAACCCCTTCACCTCTCCATGTCTCCATTCTACAGCGCTGCACGTTTTCCCTCTCTCAACTTCTCTGACAGCAAAAAGAGTTCATACAAGTCTTTGAAGTATATGCTATATATAGATCATTAGTATATGTCTCATAAGGCAAATGCTTATGTTCCTCTTTTTTCTTTTTTCTTTTTTACCATTTTACCAATTTCCATATTAGACTGTGTCTTTTTCTCTTTCTCCTACTGGAAATCTGCTCCAATTATTCCAATCTCAGCTCTTGTTTCAGATAGGTCCAAAACTGTATTACTCTCAAAACACATAAAATGGTTTTCGGTTCGATGTCGGATTATCAACTTGACAGTGGTGTGCGGTTTGATATTTTAATAATATCTGTTGAGATCAAAATGTTTGTGAGCATTTGAAATTTGAAATCGCCTGACTCCTCGTGTGTGTGTAGTGTTGGTGGTGGGTGGCGGGGTGTAGCTAATGGGTTGCCAGGTTGGGCTCTTGATCTTTCAGCTGGATGCTCTGGTTCAGCCTGGAGGTTGCTTCCTCCATTTGAGCAGATGGTGGAACGCGCAGTGTTCAGTGACCCCCCCTCACACACCCTGCAGCACCTGAGCATGTGTGTGTGTCTGTGTTGGTGAAAGCATGTGTGTGTGTGTGTGTGTGTGTGTGTGTGTGTTGTTTCAGAAATTTTCATATACTGGATATACTAGATCATGTATTTTCTGTATGCCATACAAGTCAAGATTACATTGAATCAGCCATACAGAGTTTGTGCGCATACCAGCACAATAGCTACTTGCACTTACACTCACCCATGTGTTTATGCACACACACACACACACACTCCTTAACAGAAATTGACAGCCTGACACACACTTGCTGATATAAAAAAGCATCTGCAAAGAAAAGAAAATGTGAAAAGATGAGGTTATAGTAAAGCACACACCTCTCTATCTATATCTCCCTCACACAGAGACGCACAGCGCAGCACAAAGCTTTCTATCCATTCTCCCGTCTCCCTCCCTCTCCCTCTCTTTCTCTTCGTCTCTCACAGTCTGCACCGCAAAGTTATATGAAGGGCATCAGGCAGGCCCGGCGAGCCGAGTGCAGAGTGACAGCGGCGAACGGAGTGATGGCTCGGCCCGATAAACACCCAGCGTCAAATGAAAAGGCTCTGCGCTTGCCATCATCCCCTGTCACAATGCAATTACTGAACAGAGTGATAGCAAGATAGCAGCCCCCACCGCTAGCCACAATGATAAAAGTATTGACTGATTTGATTGAATGATTAAAATAATGCAGACATAAAAATGGGGGTGAAGATAGAGAGGGAAATGGCAGGGAGGAGAGGGAGCAATGGAGAGAGAGGGTGGGGTGGGCCGGGCTGCCAAGAGTGAGGCTTTGTAGATATGGTTATGTCATTATTGTGTGTGTGTGTGTGTGTGTGTGTGTGTGTGTGTGTGTGTGTGTGTGTGTGTGTGTGTGTGTGTGTGTGTGTGTGTGTTCAGATGTTTGCTTCATCTAAGGGTGCTTTTGGTTTTGTTCTTTTGTTCTGTGTTGTTTCATTTCTCTGTCTCTTTCCTGTCTCTCTGTCTCTCAGGTTGCCATTTGTGCTGACGTGAAGGAAGTTCTGCTATCAGATGGGAACGAGAAGTCCATTCAGAGTATCCTTTCATCGTCCTCTCTCCTTCTCTTTCTGTCTATCTCTCTATCTCTGCCTCATTCCTCCAACTCACATTTATTTATATGCGTTCATATGGATTTGTTTCTGTGAATACTTGTCTTTTCTCTTGGGGTTTCAAATGGCAAATTTGTTGGTAGTTTTTGCATTCCCTTACATAAAAACCACATTCCTTCACATATATAACAATTTTCACGTTATAAATTCACGTGTGTTATGTGTATGGTTTTAGCACATCACATGGGATAAATTCAAATGATACAGATAAAAAAAGAAAAGAAATTAAATGTAAAAAAATCACATTTAAAAACATCAATTACAGGTGACTTTTTTGTAATGGACAACAATTCCACATCTAATGTCCCGTTTGTAACAGCATTTAACATGTTGACATTAACACACATGCGTCTTTTTTTTACATTTCACACATGAAATAAAAAAGACAGATTCAGGCACAAGTGGTTTTTGGGCACATGCCATGAAATCTAACATTTTCACATGTGAAGTGTAAGACTTCACATGTGAAAACATGGATTTCACATGTGCTTTTTGAGCCTGTAACATGTACACATAAATAAAATGATTGCAACTTCACAAGCAGTAATATCCTATTCTCGTAGTTTCTGCTTAATCAGTCATAAATCATTGTGCCAGTTGTTATTGCCTATTAAACATCAATAAATCTTAATTGAGGCGTTGCAATCTAAACCATTATTACTGCTAGTGAATTATGATGCCGTTTTAATCTCTTCTACACGATGTGTGAATTTCTTATGTGACCTATTTTTCCAGTGGCCCTGCTTTAGCTTTAAACTTAGACTCTTTGAGGCTGTATCATAAACTGAAACTATACCATGTACTGTAACCTCTGGGTTTCAGCCCAAGACCGGAGACTGGGATGGAGCGAAGGAAGAATAGCCATCCACCTCTTTTATCTTTAGGCAAAAGCAGCAGATGGGGCACCCACAGTGACAAATATCCAGCACTAGTGCTCAACGTGGCATCTACCAATCCTAGCTGCCCACAGTGCCAAGTTAAGAGCACAGTAATTGCCATCCTGTCAGATTTTGTTTGAGACTTCATCTAATGCTAAGGCTAGGGTTAGGGCTTGATGAGTGTTTTTGAAGCAGGAACAATCAAGGTTTGTTTAAAATGTTTTTGTGTGTGGTTAAGGTTTAGGCCTATAATTAAGTTTTTGGGACAAATCTTTAGGTCTGATTTTTTTTTTTTTGCCAACATTTGTTCTTTGAGTGGGTTATTGATCAACTCTGTCAGCTTGCAAACCATATTGTGCTTTTTTTTCCATTTCACACTTGCTCCTGTCTGATGTCCTCTTGTTTTCCCTCTTTTCTTCCATCTTCTTTCATCATTCCTGTCCTTTTTCTCCCATCCCTCCAGATCTGGCTTTATTCACTCAACAACCATACAGACAAGAAAAGGACGTTCTGACTCGTTACAGTTGTTTCACAAAAGCAGGAAATATAAATACACATTTCTTCCCCATTGACCAACGTGGCACTTCCATATTTTGCTCTGCTCACAATATATCTATCTCAGCCAGCCACAATGCTCCTTTACTGATCACAATAAGACCAAACAATAACATTATGGAGCCTGTAAAACACACAAACACACACACGAGGGCACACAAACAATACGCCATTGACCGACTGCTTTGTTTCACAGAACAAACACATAGAGAGAATTGTAAGTGAAATCATAGCGAGAATGGATCGAACACACACAGAAATAGAGAGGCGGCGTTGAGAAAGACAGATAATTTGTTCTGGGCTCAGCCAAATTGGCCCATTCACATACTGCAGGCACTATGTGGCATTTCCTCTCACTGAGGAAGCTGTTGGTCTTAGCCTTGTGCTAATAACCACTGTTTGTCTCACATGGCCTTATTGTGCGGCTAGCGTTACAATGGAAAGAGATTGTGAGTTGAGATAGCACTCAGTTTTATTCAGTGAAACAGATGAGAAGATAATTCAGAGAAAGAACTTGTGAATAGACTCGACATTTAGTTACATATATTCCAGAGAAAAGATTTTTCCTATTCCTCCAAAGTTGTTGATCTCATTTGTAGCGCAGGAACGCACTCAAACACACACCATAGAGAGCAGCGACTCTGTTGCTGTGACCTTGAATACTCATGTTGAAAATCAATTGAAGCGTTCCATTAAGAATGATTGATGCATGTCATTGGCTGCTACTTGTCCGCTACAAGTGATGGGCGCATATATTCCTCCACTTTAATGGTCAAGAATACTCAGATCTCTCTCTCTTTCACTTTTTCGTCTTTATTTGGTTGTGTGTGTTTCCAGCTCCTGTGTGTGTTTGTTTGTGCGTGTGCTGACCTCTCCCCGAGTGGTGTGCTAGTGATGAGATTACAGTAAGCTGCTCTGCTCTTCGCACTGTCATCCCTATGTATAACACACAGATGCACAGGTGTCTAGCATGTCTCTGTGTGTATGTGCACTCGTATATAAATATGTGCTAGCCTACACATTATAGTGTATCTGTGTCTGGGCGGCCTCCTTGATTTTGGATTGGCTCTCCAGCTATCAATTCATCAACTTAGCACGATCTCCTGCTCTCTCTCTCTCTCTCTCTTTCTCTATCTCTCTCTATCTCGCTCGCTCCCTGTCTTTGTCGATTGGATTTGTCTCAGCTCTTTGCAGGCTTTAAAGACAAGGAAATCCTAATTGAATTGCTTTGCAACTCCACAAGCCAGTGTCTTAATAGACAACTTGACATCAATCGCCCTGCCTTTGTGCGCGTTCATCTGCATGTGTGTGTTTGCGAGAGGGACAGTGTGAGTGTGAGCGTGTGTGTCTGTGGTTAAAAGCCTTCCCATTGATCCAGCTAGAGGCTGCTGTGATCTGCTTCTGCAGGCAGGCTCTCTATCCCTGGAGATCATCTCTGATCATTCATGCTTTCTCTATGAAGATGTTTACCATATATATTTTTACCTAAAGGAGATCTTACTTAGAGTTTGTGTCTTCCTGATGTAGCTCTGACATACAACACTCCAAAACTGTATATTTGTTTATGGGTCAGTCAGTAGTTGTAATGTCCTGATCAGCAAGGGGATAGATGACCAGTATTCTTTCTTCCATCCTAAGATCCACGTTTCATGTTTCAGTCATGTTATGATTCACACCAAGAATTTTTAACATGTGGCAATAAGTTCGCATTTGCAAAAATGTTAGTTGAATTAGCAAATATATATTAAATCCACTCTGTGTAGAATTTGATGTGATTATAACATCTTTTAAACAAACAAACAAACAAACAAACAAAGTTTTAACTACTTGTGACACTGGGTGCCAGAAATGGAAATTTTCAAATTCTGTACATGGTGGCTTTAGTTTGAATTTATTGAACTGCAAGGATTCAGTGCACATAGATTCAGCAGTGATTTTCGAAATTTTATCTGCTCACATTTACTTCATACTGTATATTAAGGTATCTTTAAGCCTGCCCTACAACCGAGGATGTAATGTGTGTCCATGATAAATCCTTGACTGTGGTGCGTCAGATGTACGAGGGCTGGTCGAGAGAAACAGGCGAGCTGGAAAGTTTGGGTCAGCACATGTATCTGCCAGGTGAGACCATTTTCACAGCTCTTTATGGAAGGATGCATGACTTCTACTGTGAGCTCTTTATCACTGAGGCCAGAAGGAGGAGTGGAAAGTGTGCAGTGCTTGCTGTAGTGTTTAAATGTTTCTCTTAAAAGTGCTCACTTTGATTTGGCCCACACCATACTGTGCTGCAAGCCAACAAGTAAACATAACCTACTGTATGCCATGTAGTGGATGTTTTTTACAGTGCCTTAAGTGCATACATTTTTAGTTTGGGTGGCCTCAGTGGGAGTATAAATCCTAACCATGGCTGTATTCTAGCAATGCTCGACACAGATACTGTACAGCACAAATAAACCTCCCTTCTTAATCAAGTAACAACTAAAGCCTGCCTTCTCCCTTGGCCTCAGCCACATCTCTCCAGCAAGTTCAGCACAAATTGGTTCAGTACTTTTTATGTAATCCTGCTGAAACAAACAGTCACGGGTGAAAACACAACCTCCTTGGCGGAAGTAACAACACCAACAAACATAAAAGCTACATGAGATGAAAGTGCATGGTAAGTAAGGGACATAGAAGCAATAGAAATATTTTCCCACAACTGTGCAGTGTGAGAGTGAAATTCTGAGAAAGAAAGGACGATTGTGGTGATTTATAGACAGACATGTATACTGTCCTGTACACCTGTTTAACCCTTATCCACTTGAATTCATCAATGAACAAACACCAAAATGTTATCCACTGAATTATGCTGTGTGTATGTGTGTGTGTGTGTGCAGTAGTTTACCCTTATAGATACCTGATCCTATTTACCACCTGTACAATATTTTTCTTTGACATTTTCACATGATAAATGTGACATTTTTTTCTTAAATTTGTTCTATATTTGTTCCAAATATCTGCAAGCGATGGTTTTGGACCAACTTTAGATGGACAACACTTCTTTATTATTTATTATTGTACAAATCTCTTGTGTTAATTAAATGAAACACAAACTTAAAATACAATCAAAGCAGTTTTTTATCTTGAATAAATGACAATTTTATAAATTTTCACATCGTTATGTCTCTTAAGTTTGAAAAATAAATTACAAAAGATCAAACCTTTTTCATTACATACTGCTAAGTGGAATATGTGTGTGTACGTGTGTTCACATGCACAGAGTCATCCAAGCAAAATGATTCCCTTTGATAGGGAGTTCTCATCCAGAAACCATCAAGAGAACTTTCCACAACACACACACACACACACACACACACACCTCATATGCAAGGACGGGCTAAAACATAGTTAATTGTTGTCCCTGTCTCAAAAAAGGCATTTTGCCACTGACTGACTGTTTTGCTTCCCTACCTCCCCCCCCCCCCCCATCTCTCTCTCCCTCTCCCCTCTCTCTCTCTCTCTCTCTCTCCATTTCTCCCTCCTGCACATATTTACACGAGTGGAAGATGGAGTGAAAAAGTAAACGTATAATTAGGCTACATTACTTTGATTGTTTTCTTTTCAGATTATGCCTGCTGTCATCGCTGCACCGCAAGAGAGGGCGAAGGGCACGATGCGATTGGACAAGGGGAGGGAGAGGGAGGGGCGTGTCGCGTGATGGTGTGTGCACGTGCATGCGTATGTGTGTGCGTGTGTTGGGACCTCCTGCCGCGAATCGAGATTGTGTTTCTAGCAGGGCCTAATGTTTTGTTTACTGAGTGTTAATAATGCCTAATTAATAATCCCCCAATCTGCCTGACAGTCTGAGAGAAAGAGAGAGAGAGAGAGAGAGAGAGAGAGAGAGAGAGAGAGAGAGGGAGAGAGAGGCGAAAATGGTGTGGAAAAAGAGATGGAGGAATAGTACGCGGTGTCAGCACAGCCTTCACACAATCTGGATCAACCAAATTACAGCCAAAGGAAAAGGAAAACACATCAACCATTGGTAATCTACTTCAAAACAGCACCACGAGGGATCAGTAGAAAATCATAAAAGAAATAAAGACTGACCATAACCTGGCCCTTAAGACTGGTGAAAACCCAGAGAATGCAGACTGTGCCACTGCTACCAAAAACAAGACACTGAGACAGAGCAACACTTCCTCTTCAAATAGCAAGACTTTGACTCACTCTCCACCAAACTGCCAAACCAAAGTGTAATACTTATTTTTGGAGGAAACTGATAATTGCCATAGAAGTATCAAAATATGTTTAAACCTGAGGGAAAACCAGCAGAACATCTGTCCCCGCTTTTTAATTTAATTTAATCTCTTTTCTTTTTTGATTCTCACTATTTCCAAACTGTAGCTCATTCTATCATATATATTTTCTTTTTTCTTGTGTTTCTATAATGCATATAAGATTTTATGGTGTATATTTTATAGCAGTGTGCAAACTATTATACATAACTATATCTTTTTTTCACTACATTCTGAATTACTATACTTGTAGTGTAAATCATGTGCAACCTCTTTGGCAATGATCAGGCCAATAAAGTAAGAATAAAGAAGAGGACAGTGTGGCGATTGAATATGGATTTGGTCCTCCTGAGTGTGAGAGAGAGTGTATGTGTGTGTTCACATGGTATAAATGTCAAGTGTCATGTCAGAAGCTCCCTCTCTTTACCTCACAGATGACATGTCGTCCCTCCCCGACGCTTTCTCCAAGTCTCTACTGAAGCAGAAAAACAGTGGGGGTCAGACAGAGATGTGTCGGGGAGCAAGAAGACCAAAGTGTTGGAAAGAGAGAAAAGAAACAGCGAAGGACAAAAGAGGGACAGGCCGCTGTTGCTCGCTGCGCAGCTTCATGAACGCTGGCTTTCTTCTGTCACCAGCTCTGCAAATACTTAACTTTGGTCTCTGTTTTATGTGTGTGTTACAGGGTGGTGAGGTGGGACTGTGAGCCTGACATTTCGGCACTAGAGGGTCACTTTGACATTGTCATGTGTGCAGACTGGTAGGTTATCACACACACACACACACACACACACACACAGATTATGCTCTGTGTGTGTATTCATGGCATTAATTTTCGCTTTTGCGTGACAGTTCTTGCAGGGCCCCCCACCAGCGCCTGGACCTTCCCCGCCTTTTCCACACACGCACATATACTCACACACACATCACACACACATACATACATATGCTCAGATGCCCGCCTGCCTCCATTTTACACCAAATTGCCTCGTTTTCATGCTTGGTGTCCCAGCAAATGGATGACTTAGGCAAATTGCAAATAATTGCGCCTTGACAAGGAAGGAGACACAGTAAGATAAAGAAAGAGTTGAGGGCGGATGGAGGGAGGAGCAGAAATGGAGATGGAAATGGAGAGACAGAGCAACATAAACATAACAATTAGCCCATCGGTCATTGAAATGTAGATCTTGTGGCTAATCAAGAATTACATCTGTTTTTATCGCTCAGTCGTACTGTGTGAAAAAAAAAATGCATCAGGATTTTTAGTGCATCCTGCAGCTTGACTTCCTTGGAGAAAATATGAAGAAAGGTAAGTGTGATCTGTGAAAGAAATTGCTCCTCTAAAACATTCATTCAAGTTATATGTGCTGTCAAAGGGGATGGAATGTGCAACCTTGATTTATTTATACACACACAAACACACACACACACACACACAAACAAACAACACACACACAAAGGGCTGTAGTGGTAAATAAATGTGTAGGTACGCATTCTGCATCCGAGGCCTGGCCAGTACACACCTGCAGTATTTACTACAGAGAGAGAGAAAAAAGAAAATCAAACATGATATTTTATACACTCCTTATCATACAGACATATTTTGATTTTTTTTACTAGATTATAATGTTTTTAGAAGATTTTAATTCTTAAAAAAATATATAAATGATCATCATTTAAAGACACACTGAAGTCATGCAAACCAACAAAGCAAGGTTGAGTTATGATAACTTAGGAATCTTTAGCTATGGTTAAGTACAAAGTGACCGTGTCATGGTGGAGTGTCTGGCCTTCTTATAGTCTCTGAGCGAGGTCCTGCTTAGGTTCTCCAATGCTGATTTGGGCAGTGATATAGAAACTGTTGGGGGGGGGGGGGGGGGGGGGGGAGCTGAAGGAAGCTGAAGGAAGCTGAAGGTTAAGTTTAGGGCTCTTTTGTCCCAAAAGACTTCAAAATCAGCAGACAGATGAAAGGAGGTCAGGCGGTGTCCAGGTGCGGTGGTTGTTGAAGTAAAACAAAAGATGTGAAAGGAGTTCATGCCAGATATGGAGAGGTTCAGGCAAACCCTTTCGGTGACTCTGGAGGGAGGGGCAGGGGCTTGGCTAGAGTGTTTTAGCAGGAGAGGACAACTGCTGACCGTGACTGGTGATAACATTGGGTGATGAGAAGAACATTTTGAGGAACTCATGAGCTTGAACGTTACACCTTTTGTGGACGAGTCAGATGACTTGGAGGAAGCCTCACCCAGCCCTCTGGTGGTCACAGAGGCAGTAGAATTTCGGCGGTGGTGAGGTACCTGGAGGGGTTGAGATTCACCCTGAGATGCTGCAGGCTCTGAACAGCGTTGGATTGTCTTGGGTTGTCTTTTCTACATCAGTGGAGGTTGAGGATTGAGCCTAAGGACCGGACACACAGGCATGGTGGTCCCCTTTTTCAGGACTGGTCATTGAACAGCACCTTCCTTTAGGCTGTTGTGAATGAACAACATTTATGTCCATTTACCCTCCACCACACGTGTACACACACTTTCACACATGCACATACAAACACACACATACACGCTGAGAAGATAGACATGCTGTTGGTTAATCAAAAGTTCTTGACTATTTTGTAGCTTCACAAACACTGAACAAAATCAACTTGTGTACAGTATGTGTGTATCTGCCTGCTCAAGTGTGTGCATGTGTGCTAAGTGCAGCATTAGCAAACGCTGTTATCATTATTGTAATGTCACGGTCATTACAGGTAATAGTCAGGTACAGCACTCAGAGAGAGAAAGAGAGCAGGCAGCTAATAGAGGATATTTTGAGGATATTAGCAGACTAGTGTATATGCACGTGTGTATGATAGATAGAAGCAGATAGTGTGAGAGCGGAGTAAATTGCATGTGAATTTTTGATATCACGGGTTCTTCAGATTTCCCATTTCTCTCAGCAGTGATGTGCGCTTTAGCCATGGTTCTGCTGTCTTTGTGTGCGGTGCCATCTTTTCTGTGCGTGTATGTGAGCGAGTGATTGTGTGATAATTGCAGTGGTGCTGGTTGAAGAGTGATGGCTGACCGATTAACGGGCGCGTCATTGCGATGATCACCTGCGAAAAGGTCAACAACGCAGCTTCCACTCCGATTAATTATAGCTCCTACCAGTAGCAACGGAACCACCGCTGAGAAGGGAGGAGAGCAGAAGGGAGGAGGGGAGTAAGGAATGGAGAAGAGTTTGGTGAAACATTGTCTATCAGAAGTCCATTATGTGCTAACTTCTTTGGATATACTGCCAAATTTTGAAAGGGGGGGGTTACGCAAAAGAAGAATTGCTGTTAGATGTTATTTAAGTGCTGTTAAAGTCAATCTGGCACTGCTGACCGCTTCACCAACTTTTGAACATGATGAAACTGCAGCACTCGAATAAGACATTATGAACTGCCTCTCTGTGTGATGTCACACCTGGGAAAAATATAATTCAAGGTCTGAATCATAGGTTTGTACACGGTGCATGAGACCTTGGAGGAATCTCTGTTCATTAAAAATAGTGCCACAGTCATGTCAACTGAACCACCTTTGTTGAAAAGAAATGTCCTTCATATATACTGCACTGTATATATACAGTAGTCTTGCTACTTCGTCACAAAAATAGAAAAATAACCCACCACTGTTGTTATTTTACAGGTTGGTTGGTAATAAACCTATTGAAACACACATCTTGTTGTTCCTGCTCCAGAGCCGATAGGTCATCTGTGAAAACAGCTTATTATGACCCATAGTTATGTTTTATTATTGGGTGACCTTTAGTGGCCATAGTGATTGTGACAGGAGCATATAGAGTATATAGGAGTAGTATATAGAGTGACAGAGTTGGTGTTAGGAGGAGGTTGGGGTGGATGGATGGGTCGACAAAACAGAACTTTCATACAGGCGCCCACTCTTCATTTTCCCAGTAAAACCAATCATGAAGCGATCCATGAAACCACTCAACGTTGTTTCTTTTATCCATGACTGTTACATAACCACATGTTTATTATTGCAACCATAACAACAAAGATAAGAAACTACATGTCTTGCCCAAACCACAATTATTTCTTAAACCAAACCAAGTAATCTTTGTGCCTAAACCTAAACAAACCGTTACCGTTCCACAACCATAACTATGTTTATTGTTGTTAGTATGATGATGAAGGTGTGTTGCGCCTGCTGCTGGTACGCTCCAATGCCTGTATATAACGATGGACAACACAACTCCACATCCTCACACTGTACAAAAATGAAGCCATTTTGGGCCAGAGTCGGTGCAGTGGTGATTGGTGGAGCAGTGTTATCGAGGTCCCGCCCATACACCCACCCAACTCAATTGTGAGTCAATCACAGCTGTCAGTCATGATGTCATACTCCATTTTCATAGCATCAAATAACTAATTAAAACAAAATTTACCCGAACACTTGGACATACATCAAAAAAAAAAAAGAATGTATGTGTGCTTTTATTTTTTCAGTTTATCCCATGTCCCAGCCGCGAACATGGAGGGGGCGGGGTTTATGACCTATACTACAGCCAGCCACCAGGGGGCAATTTAGATGTTTTCACTTTTGGGGAACTGTCATATTGTCCACCTTTCTATACAGTCAGTGATGCGCTCCTATAGGTCGCCGAGGGGAGGGACAAGCAACCTGTATGGTTGTTGAAGTTTGTTCCTCTTTAAGTTGACACTAAAGAAAAAAAGAAGTAGGCGATGAATGGAGAGAGTGAGCTCTACTCTGATGTGTTTTGCTTGATGTTACTTATTTTGGATGTTTTTCGACCATCACTGATTTTGTGACATCACAGCTTGTTTGGAGCCAATTGTGGTTCAGTATGAAACATACACTGAAACTTATGAAGTGTGAAGTAGAAACTTGAAACCTCCAGTTCACATTTTATGGACATAGGAGGCGTCTTGTTCCCAGTAGTGAAAGAATGTTTAACTAGTTTATTGAGATCTTAATGTCCTATCAGTGTAATCACTGACAGTCGAAATCTAAGAGATTCACAGAGAAAGACAGACAGTAATGCGGGAACTGTGTGTGTGTGTGTGTGTGTGTGTGTGTGTGTGTGTGTGTGAGACAGAGAGAGAGAGAGAGAGGGATTCCTGCAGTGGGCATGTGGATGGCAGAGAATCCTTGGCTGGGATGTTGGCATGTCTGCTTTTTCCAAAAACTGTCCATGTGTGGGCACTGAGATAAAGCCTTGTTTGTGTGTGTGTGAGTCTGTGCGTGTGTGTGGATTTTTCTGTTTTTGTACCATATCTATGTCATTTGCATCTTGTATAATCACACATGCACTTTTTAAGCATATTCACCTCTTTTGTGTTAAATTTAAGAACTGACTGTTAGATGCGATTGCATTAGATAAGGAACTTTGGATGCATTATCACACACAAAGACACACAAAACACAAACACATCTTTGTTGAAAGCTCTATGTGATAATTTGGCACAATAATACCACTCTGGACAGAAGGTCAGAAATATGTAATGGCAGTCTTTTGCTCTTTGGATGATGTTGAGACTATAAACAAGCGAGTGTTGCCCGGTGCTTGTAGATTATGACGGATCAAGAAACAAAAGGTTTTCATCATGTTTAATTTATTATACAAAAAGTCCTCACCTTTTGTGGGGTTTCACTGTTCTGTGCCAGTGTCCTCTCCACTGCACAAAGTCAATCTTAATGCTTCATTACATTCTGTGGGAGTCAAACACACTGCTGTTACAGATAAAGTTAATATCTTACTGTACAAAAAAACATCACGGTTTACTGCATTTCTTGTCTTTCTCTGTTACGCAACAATGATTCTTGGAGGCATTTAGTCATAATTAAACTTAAAAAAAAACAAAGCTTCATTTTCATCTGACATATAGAATAACTGTTGTCAACTTTGTCTCTTTCTTTTTTCAGTCTCAATCACATAATTTCTTCCTGAACTGCAGTACTTTTTTAATTTCTTTTATTTGCCTAATGGAACGGTGTCAACCATTTTGGTTCTTGTGCTACATGCAGTAAGACTCCACATGAAAATTATTAGAAATATTTGTCAGAGGTCTATATAAAATTGCTTTTATCACACTAAAGTAATGAGAATAATTTTTCATTATTGTAATAGATGAGAATCAAATGAATGAAAAGGACAGTTTAAAAAAATATTTCGACCCTTTCATCTCATCGGGGTTTCGAAACATTGTCAACAGTGATTCTTAGAGGCACGCTTCTTGTCTACACCAAGAAATGCGTAAGTCGCTTTCTAAGAATGTGATTAGAGTCACCCATTCAACTACACACACACACACCACACACTGTTGTATATTCCTTAATAGGATGAAAGACTGAAACCAGCGTGGTGCCGTCAGCTGTCTTTTACTGCATTGCACTCCACTAGCTCTATATTTAGTTTTTTGCCATGTGTTGTTTTGTTTCTTTTTTTTCTGTACACGGTCACAAGGTTGTGTTGCTATTCCACTCTTAAGTGACTTAGTCCTGTTTTCCCACATGACAGTACAGGTAGTAACAGTGAATTCCCTGCATAGTCTTGGATTGAAACAAATTAGATATCCTCGAAGTCATTTTTTAAAGCAAAGTGCAGTAGAACAAGAAAATACTTGTAAACAAAATTCAAAGAAAACAGGAATCATACAGAGTCGAATTAATCTGACCAATAAGGGATCTGGTTTTGACAAAATGATATTATATTTGCCTCACGTGATTTTCATTGGCTCATTTTGGATATAGGACAAAGAGATGATATATATATACACCCTTGCATCTTGACCTTTAACCCTTTGGGAAACTACGGCTTCGTAGATGATGTCATGTGTTTCCATGATCTCACCATTGCAGCCTTGACAACATCCTTTATGTTCACATATGTATATAAGCAGACAAATATAGCAGCAATGCTCTCTCCTTCTCTCTCCCTCCCTCCCTCCCTCTCCCACACACACACACACACACACACACACACACACACACACATGCCCGTGCTGTGCACTTTGACCTCTAGTCAGTTTTGACTGGAGTTCGCTGGGCTGTCCTGGGAGGGAGGGGTCAGCGTGAGACAATAGGTCTCTGACAGTCTGGGGGCATCAGAGGTGACCTTAAAGGGGAAGACCACTCAATTTTAGAGTCCATCAATGTTAGCCTGACATTATAAAACAACAAACCCCAGCCAAGCAGTGTAACAGACGGTAAAATATACAAGAATATCATTTTACTGTCCATTGTCTACATTTTATTTGTACAGTGAAAGTAAAGAGAAGCCAAGAACTCAAACTAACAACAGTTTACTTGCCTGAACTATTTCTGCTGGTGAAATGATCGCAGTTTAACTTTACCACATCTGTCATGTCACAGTATTATAGTGGGAGCTATAGACAGCTTTAATGAAACTTTTTCATCAGTAATGACACAATATGGTGTAAAGGACAATTAAGACTTAGTTTCTGCACTTTGAGATGGTCTTTTTCCCGTCTCTGACGTTAACTGTTGCCCTCTAAATGACACTCTGGCCCTCCCCTGTCCTCAGAGCGTGTGTGTGTCTGTGTGTATTTCAGCCATTACCTCCACCCAACTAGCCTACTTCCTTGTTTTCGTTACCACTCACTTTTCCCGTCAACTGATATCTGTGGCAAAATAAACCAAACACAAACCTCTCACCTTTCAAGTCAAATAAACTTTGCACCTCTGTCTAACCTTAGAAGGAATAATAAACTTAACACCTACGTACACACATCCTGGTTTTGGTAAGAGCTTGTAGTCCTGTAGCTCTCTTCTTCTTAAATTTCTTATATATATCCTCTGAAAAAATACATTTTTGTAGGTATGGGTAGAGATGCAGTGGGGAGATGCTGTGAAATGTACCACTGGTCCCTCACTGGCAGCAGAGGATTTTGAATGAGGAAAGGTCAGAGGCTGTGATTGGAAACCTGCCACTCCATCGGCCAGTCTAACGGATGTGTGGGATTATGTCAAATCTGCACTGTATTGTTGCATTTTAGTCAAATTACTCCACTCTCATCTGTGATAATAGGTGCACACAAACATACGCATGCACACACGCAGCGCACTACTTACTTGCATAATGGATTGAAATCTGTCTTTGTGGATATAGAGACAGGTGTTACTTTGTTTAGAATGATTAGAGTCGATTTGGGGCGTCGTGTGTGTGTGTGTGTGTGCGTGTGCGTGTGTGTGGCACGAATATCCATCCCATCCAAAAACAGTCACCGTTAAAACCAACTTGTTTTCCACAAGTGAATTGTGTTGGGATGAAGAATTAAAACCTCAGTATGTCACTTTTCAGACTATATTTTCACTTGTATTAAACCCACATTTCTTTTTCTTTCCACTGAAATGCTCTTGTGGTACTACAATGAATTTAATATCTTTGTTTCATCCTCTTTCACTAAGTGTAATTTAATTTTGAAGAAAAAAACTTGTGACCACTAAAATCCCACTTCTTAGCCTTCTTCCAATTTCCTTGTTTTTGGGTCGGAGCTCTGCTTTATTTCTGTCAAACAATGGCGTATTTGAAGAGTGTGAAGCTGCTACTAATTTATTTTCATTCATAAGATACTGATGTACAGCAGAGGAGGGACTGAGACTGACTAACCTAAATTTTCTTCTTGATGTCCGTGGCACTAGATTACAGTAATTGTATGAGACACCAAAGTTATTTGTTGTAGTACATTCCCTTCAGGTTCAACCATCTGTGGTTGACGTAAAAGAGTTAGCATGAATATTTTTAGTCACTATCAGTAACTAATGTTAATGTGCTGTTTTTGTGAGAGTTGAACAACTGAACATTATTATAAGACCTGGGTTCAAGCATGTCATTTTAATGGTGGTTGTAGCTCTCACCTACAAGTACTCTTTCAGACTCTGAGAAAAGAAGGTTTATTAGTCAGCGTGTTATTTTATTCATGTCTTTAGACAGTAAGTCCTGCCCTCCTCTCCCTCAGCTGGTCAAATTTAAACCCAATTATATAGATATCATTTACATATGAAAATGTGACCAGCCTGGTTGCTCAGGAGACCAACATCCTTAAAGTCTCCACAAACGCTGAAGAGGACAAAAGAGTGCAGGGTATTTACAATGCAGATGTAAAGTCATTTTATAAAAACATTTTTTATGTATAACATTTAGCTTTGTTGTTGTTTGTTACTAAATTCTGAACTAAATGAAGCTAAGGTGATGACTGCACCTTTAACAAAAAGTCTCCTCTGTCTCCGTCTGTCTTTTCCTTCCCCCTCCGTTTCATACAATTTGCCCCTTCAGGAAAAACATATCTGTAGACTTGCTGCGACTCCACTCATCATCCACTCATCTTTGCATGAGCAGTAACACACACACACTTAACATTATACAAATACACACAGACACACACAATAACATGTACGTACCCAATCCACCGTTAAGCATCCTGATAATCAGATTTTTGTTGAACATTAGCAGCATGATAATTTGATATATGCTCCCTCTGTTATTTAAATGTGTTCATCATATTGTGTGTGAAGCTGCACAAACATAAATGCACAAATGGTCTAATTTACATCTACAAGAATGTATCCACTGTCTCTCTCACACTCTCACACATGGAAGTTACAGCACAACGGTGTTTAATGTACAATGAAGGCAGTTCATTGATTTTGTTAACATTAACTTTTTGATATATTTTTTTTCTTCCCTTTGTTGTTTTTGTTCGTATATCTTCATTTTAACGACAGAGCCCACATTCCAGGTATTAACTCCCTTAATTCAAGGTGCTTTGTGGCGCTTTGAAGTATCTCTGTAAAAGTGTGTATTTCTGCACATACACGTGGATGCTCTGTGTGTGTGTGTGTGTGTGTGTGTGTGTGTGTGTGTGTGCGTGTGTGCGTGTGTGTGTGTGTGTGCGTGTGTGCGTGTGTGCGTGTGTGCGTGTGTGTGTGTGTGTGTGTATTTACTGTAGGCGATTATATCTGCACACGCTGGATTTTCTGATGTTCTGAATTCCTCTCAGTGCCTCATCAATAGGCTGAGGTGGAAACACATGGAAACTCAGACGTAAACAAAAAAGAGAGAGCATCTTACTCATGCAAATTGTTTTTCCCCCTTCTTCCTGTTGGTGGATTTATTTGTAAACAAAAGAAAATAAATAGCCTGCTGCTTTATCTGGAGCTGCTATCGTACGAATGCATTCTAACCTGACTCTCCCTCTCCCTTTCAGTTTGTTTGTCGACCAGTACAGAGCCAGCCTGGTTGATGCTATAAGGAGATTACTGCAACCTGACGTAAGTGTGTGCAAGCGTGTGTGTGTGTGTGTGTGTGTGTGTGTGTGTGTGTGTGTTTACCTCTGTGTGTCTATTGTATATATCTCTGCTTATCCCCTTCCTCTAAATCACCACCCACTCCTCTCAATCATAATTAGGCCTCGCCCCAAACCCTATACACATTAATAGTCTGACAGGATTAATATCATGTAATGCTTTAATGCTTATTATGAGCAACTTGAATGCATCGCTCTGATCTCCATCTCTCTCTTTCATGCCTTCCCTTAATCATAAATCCGAGGCAACTTCTCCCTTTTGGCCCTGCGATAAGACCCCATGCTGTGACAGCCAAAGCAAATGGGGGGAAAAAAGCAAAAGGCTGGAAGAGATAGGGTTGAGATTTATATTCATCTGAGGGAAGAAGGCACAGAGGCAGTACAGAGGCCAGAGTGGTATTGGGAATATCTGTTTATGAAACAGAGTTGAAAACGGCACTGAAGGGAAGGAGATAGGGAGAAGAAGGAGGAGGAGGAGGAGGAGGAGGAGGAGAGGACACAGGAAGGGTGGGATGAGGCAGGAAAGAGATGGTTTGGAGGGAAAGATGAAAGTGTAGAAAAGATGAACAGTGAGACGGAGGTGGAAGAAGAATGGCTCCCTCCATCTAGAATCCCAACATGGATCTTGTTCGAAATCTTTCCTAGAGAGGTTAGAGAGCGGTTTTCAGTTCAGTCAGACAAACAAACAAACAAACAAAAGTCAACAGTAGCCTCTAGTTTCATCAACAGACCGTGATGTAAACTGTTTTCACTAGAACTACTTTCTGCAGAAGAAATAGTCCCCATGAAAACTGCTGCCTGCATGTTCCCTAGATAATCCTGCACAAATGGGACACTGTTTCTGGAAAGAGATGTTGCCGCTGTATTTTTTTTAAATGTCATTTTTAAATGCTGTCGGCACCTCAAAGGAAATCCCATTCACTTCCATTTTATCGATGTGGAGGCAGAAATCCAGGCGATGGATATCTCAGAATCTGGGCACGTAAAACTAAAACTGTCCACATATGTAGATACCACACAGCTTTATTACCTTTGTTTCAAATGCAGAGGTAACTAGAATGTTATTTATATTGCGTTCAAGTTGTTTCCAGCAGTGACACACACGTTTCCTCAGCTGACATTTCAGAGAGTGTCATGCGCAGTAACACCTGCCACCCGAATACGTGTCTTGGTTGCAGTTGAATTCAGACGCTGATGTGGTCGAATGAGAGACATGACATCTGGCCATTGTTGTACATCTGTGTGTTAAGTCTCTCTTCATGTCTCTCTCTTTAATCCAGTGGAGATAATTCAGGGACTAATATGATTTGAGTGTCGGCCATCAGACTGTTGCTGCCACTACAAGCTTTGCCAAATATTTAATAATTTGCTAAGCTGATTAAACAATTAACAAAGCAACAATTAATTCTCCCATCTAATGGCACTAATTTGTTGTTTCTGACAAAGGTGGTCCATCCGGTGGGCTGGATCCCCCTTAATCAGCTGATTAGTGCTGGGAGGAATTTGTCTGTTTGTTTGCTTTTGCTTTATTTTTAAAGGGGGGGGGGGTTGGAGAAAAAATGCAACTGGATAGACAGATGAAAAATCATCTGTCAAACTGGGTGATCCTGCTGTTTTCACTGCCTTTGTGTTCATTTAGCTTGTGTTGTGTCAGTGTGCGTTTTTATGTGTGTGTTTGATGCATGTGTGTGTTGGCGTGAGCATCCCTCTTTGCTCCATTTAATTAAAACAATAATAACATGATCAACATGAAATAAAACTGAAAGCTGAAGGATTTCAAAGAAACTTTGAACCTCTTGGTAATCCTCTTAGTATTTGCAGGACATCTGTGATGCATGTGCACACACACACAAAACACACACAAACAAACACTCAAACAAGTAACATACAGTACATGGGTAGACGTATTCAGACCTTCATATGTGTGTTCACATTTCCAGGGTTGATTGGATTATTAAAGCTTTAATTTTTTTTCGGTTTATCATCTAATATGTACCTGGTAAAAATCAAAGGAAAGAGAGGCATATTGTGTGTGTGTGTGTGTGTGTGTGTGTGCGTGTGCGCGTGTGCGCATGTGCGTGTGTGCGTGCGTAATGTTATGAAAAATTAGGTGTGAAAATATGTGTGAAGTTCCCCAGTCAGGCTGTATGATATGGCCAAAAATGTCACGTTAAAAATGTTTAGTTCAGTGGATATAGATAATTATTCATGATTTCCAATTTTATTTATTTATTTAATAGAGACCAGGAGGAAAGTAACACATTACTGCGCGGGTTAGGTTCTTGTTGCGTTTAGATGTTTTGTCATACGGTTTTGTTGCTGAGCATCTCTCCATTGTGAACTGCCTGCGGGTTGTTTCTTGAGATGTAGCAGATGTTGTTCATGATTGATGACGAGTTGTGTAATACAAAGAGTGGAAGCGGCTGAGGTGATAAAATAAGTTTGTTGTATTCTCGCTCTTGGTGGGGACAGTTTTCCTGCACAGTTTACACACACAGTCTTAAAGGTGCTATATGTAAGCTTTTGCTTTCGCTACATAGCCTGAACAGCTGTACAGCATTAACATCTGTTTACTTAAGAGTCAAGAAGAAATGTTGCAACTTCAGCATCGAACTTCAATCCTTTACTCACCAGCCGTGGAAAGCAATGCCTGTTTTAATTTTTGTTTCCTTTTTCCTTCTTCTGAAGTTTGCAAGCTAACCAGCTGGCCCCGGCCTGTCCCATCTCGTAATACTGCTTTGTGATTATGAGTCAATGAAGTGTCCAGCCTGCCCTTAGTTCAGTGTGAGAGGATGAAGAAATAACACTGCGAAGAGGGCGTATTTTAACCTCATGTAAACGCAACAATGGCGGAAGGTCTTTGCAGGCAACCACGTTCGGTGGCAGAGAAAACTTTCAAAAACCACCTTTAAAGAAACCAAAAAACTGCCATACTGCTGAGCCGACCTTTTTGTTGACAGTGTCCTCACTGTGTTCACCAGCTGCACTCATTTTCTCACTCAATGCTTCTGTTGTTGTTGGCTCCATTATGTAGGGATATGATAGGCTGTGATTGTGAGCTGGGGAGGGAGCAAGCTTGACGTTTGTTACTGCACCTGTGAAACAATCAGACTTTGTATTGAACAATTATCTCATTACTATTGATGAAGTGTTGTGTATCGCCAGTTTATGGCTATCGTTTTATCGCCCGGGCCTTGTGCACGGAGCATTTACTGAAGATTATCCAACAACCATAGTACTTACCCTCCTCTCGTGTTCTACCCAGGGCATGGCGTTGGTGTTCGCTCCACTGCGAGGTGAAACTCTGAGACTGTTTTGTCAACTGGCCCAGCAGGCTGGACTCTGCGTCTCTCAACACCAGCAGTATGACGCTCAGGTCTGGGATGTTCACTTAAAGGTAAGAAGCATGTCCACGAGCAGAAAGACTCCACAGCACTGGACCCAGTACTAAGTAAGACACTTGAGTTTTGGTAAGAGACATGACTCGCATGCAGTCATCTCATGCAGGCAAAGTGCTCATTGAATCAATACTATAAATTATTGTTCATTTTCTCACTGTGGATTCAGAGTGTCAGGTTTTCATGTTGTTGATGTAAGAGTAAAACTAGTATAACTACAGTATGAATAGAACCAGTCTACATGATCATCCACTGTTTGTTTTTAGGTTATTTTCATGAATGGCTTAAAGATTTCTGCACTGACCGTCAGCTGAACAACACTATGACACTCCATATTTTAACCAATTCAACAGTCGTAACAAAATGTTTGGTGCAAATTGAAATAAATAAAGTTAACCCCTGGTTAATGCACTTCAGTTGCTTTTTAAAAAAAAATTGCAAAATCTGTTGCTACTTAATAAAGAGACAAAACACAATCCAGGCTGTGAATTGTGCACTCGGCTTTAATAAGGACTCGTGGATTAGCCTGTCGTTTGATACTTAGAGACACTTTGGGAGACACACCAGAGCAAAAACAAGCTGCCTTAACTTGGCACTGTGTGTGAGAGAGAGAGAGAGGGAATGAGAGAAAAGGAGAGTGAAAAGAGAAAAAGAGCAACAGAAAGCACATGAGTAGGCAGTGTAAGAAGAAGTGGTGTCCAGCTGTTATCTCCATTACACACACAGCTACAGAAGAACAGGACAGCAAGGAGTGGGCTAAATTGGTGCACACATGTTCAGCTACACTGGTGGGACAATTGGACAGACTGGCCATTAAAATGCCTGTTAAAGTGACCTCAGCAAGGAAAATCTCACTCCTTCTTTCCTTCTCTCTGTACCATTTGTCCATCACTAGCATACTCACCTTCTGTAACGTCCCTTTCACAGTATATTAAGTGGGAGGACACATTAACAGAGGGGAGTGACTCAAGACTGGACTTGGTCAAATTGTCACAATCCACATTTGGCCTCCTACTCTCCGTTGCAGTGAGAGCGTCAGTGGCCACTGTTCTCATGTTGAGTCCATATCAAACGAGCAGCAGCGTGCATTTCTGATTGTGTGACTCTGTCAGCGTCTGTCCCTTAAAAATTATGTCAACGTACAACTAATTTGTTTCAGTAAACACAGTTTAAAGGAACATAATGCCAACTGTGTTACGTTTTTAATTAACATAGCAAGAAAACTGATCACTGTCAATATGCAATGCTGCATGTCATTGTTTCCTCCACAATATCCCCTCCTGGAAAATAAAGCACATTTAGAGAAATAAAAGCACTTGGTTAAAGTCGGGGAACGATCAGATAAAAGATGGTTTAATATTTTAAAAAGTCCATGCTGACTTGAAGCACACAAGACGCATTTACTTGTTCAGTATTAAACCAAAGCCACCATCTTTCCTTGACCAAAACACAAGGCTTTTAATAAACTTCAGATTCGTTTTTATATAGAGTTTATATAGAGTTTTATTTTTAAATGTAGTAACTAAAACCAATAAATAAAGGACAAAATAACATTTAATCTTCTGTTAAGTTTCCCCTCATATAGCAGCACATGAAGAGCAGAACAAAAAAACGGGGATTCAGTGAAAAAGAAAAAAAGTTAAGAGGGACAGACAGAAAGAAGTAGCCTCTGTAGTATTAGAGTGAATGCTGCCATTGCATTAAATTGAAAAAAAAAACAACTTTGAAAAGGCTGCCGAGAGAATTGATTAGGCTTCAAGGCCACAGAATAATATGAATACAGTTTGAACAGTGAAATAAATTCAGAATAAAATTGATGTGGGTTAAAAAAAAGAGCATCATGAAATTATGCTGTTTTTTGGTTTTCTTTTCTTTGGTATGCCAGGGGTCTGTCAGGCCTTTCAGCTCACTGTTGAAATGCACACTTCCATCTTAGTAACACACACTGTTACACAGGAACACAAACACAGTGGGGTCAGGTGCTGTGTGCGGATATGAGGACAAGTTGAAGTGCCCCCCTCACAACTGAAGGTGATTAAGTCTCCTCTGCTTATCTTCTGATGAACACTCTGAACAACCCCTGTGTGGTTTTTTTTCTGTGTGTGTGTTTGTGTGTGTGTGTGTGTGTGTGTGTGTGTGTGTGTGCGTATTCGCTTGTATGTGCCTGACTGACCATTCTAGACACAAAAACACACACACACACACACACACACACACACACACACACACACACACACTGCGCACACAGCTAAGAAACAAGCTATATCACAATCCCACACAGACCAGACATCACTCAGACAGCATATTGGCTAGACATTACACACAAACGCACACACCACATGATGATATCACAGCAAAACATACACTGCCACCATGCACACACACACACACACACACACAGACACACAAACACACAGACATCCAAATGAGCAGCTGCTGCTCATTTACACTACAGATTAGCTTTCTTCAGCTATATTTACTTTCAGTGGGTGGACCAGAACACAAGGAAAATGCATATCAGACCCGACAGTGGAACACACACTATGGATTTTCTTTCACTGTGGCTTAAAACAATCAAAGACGTCTCCACCAAAAGCATACATATACATTTTGAGGAAAATCTGAAACTGAAAAGCCTATATGTTTTTTTTTATACTGAGAATCCCAGTTCCTCTAGTTTGTAAGTAAACGCTCTCTGTTATACTAAATTAACTTTCACTGTTGCTGCCTCAGCCTTTAGTTAGATTTTGTTTACTTAAAAAAACAAACATTTTATATGTTGTGATATGTTGTATGATTTATAATATTTTGTGTAAGAAAATATTAGAAAATAACTCTAAATCCAGTATTGAGTGAACAGATTCTGTAATCCGCTGTTACCTTAAAAAACAAGGCCAAACTAGGCCACTGCAGCTCAAATATGTGTCACGTGAGTGTAAACAGGGCAGTACAGTTGAAATAAGTACTAAGTGTTATATCAATATATCATTAAATGGCAAATGTTTGCAAAATCACATGTAACATCAAATGAATCTTCAGTACAACAGATAAAACTTTTCAAATGTGTAAAATAAAACCCTCACTCACTCATGTTGTTACTTTTCAAATACATTTTGGTTGGAGTCATTAGCATGGACAACAGAGCTTCAGTGATACGATACCACTGAAAGCTGTGAAATGATCATAATGAATTATCTCCCAATCTTTGTCAAGTTAGCCGCACGCTCCACTGAAAATCAGAGTTTACTTCTTCTTTTCATGCTCCCTTAGCGACTCACAAGCTCCTCCATCTGGCACAGATGCTGTTAAACAAACGTACCCCACAGTAGCTGTGGGTATGCTGGCATTCCTCGCCACGCCGGCTTTGACACACGTCAAATTTGATTTTGTTTGGAATATACTGCCAGTCTTCATGTTTGCTTTGCATGTATTTGTGTTAAAAAGGGAGAGAGCAGGGAGTTTTTCTTTTTTGTAGCAATTCTTTACAACCCATCTCTAGACCCCCGTCTCGCTACTCTGCAGTTTTTCACACATACACACACTTTCGCCCTCTGACACAAACACACTCGAGGGACTGCCGAAAGCAGGCAGGCCCGATGTGCAGCGGTAGTGTGTCTAAGAACTGTGTGTGTGTGTGTGTGTGTGTGTGTGTGTGTGTGTGTGTGTGTGACTGTGAGTGTAAGGCGTGTGCTGGGACGGGCAGACAGGGCTAGTGCGTTATCCTCTTATCCCCACTGTTGTGGAATAGAGAGGCAAGCAGCTGGAGGGACTGCAAGCAGCCTGATAATGCCAGCGCTATTTTCTAACCCGCCATCTTAATCTTGTTACTCAAATGGTTGTGAAGAGAGAGTCATGAATTTTAATTTCTCTCAAACGCACATGCACACACACACACACATGCAAGAGAGTGTGTGTGCACATGTGTGGATCCCCCGTCTCTCTCACATGCATTAATAGTATCCCCACTGTGTCCATGCACTCACACTCTCTTCCCTGCCTCCTTCGTTCTGCCTCCCTCCTTCACTCTTTCTCTCTCTCTCTCTCTCTCTCTCTCTCTCTCTCTCCTGGCTACCCCCTTTCCTCCCTCCCCCCTTTCTCTGACATATCTTCCTTCACCCTTCTCTACTCTCCCTCCCTCTGTTCCCCTCTATCTTCCCATTTCCTACATCACGACCCACTTCTCTATTTATTCAAGCCTGTCCTTCTATCCCTTCCTCTACTCATCTCTCCATCCACCCAATCCCTCATTCTCTGTTTCCTAATCCTGCCGAGAGAGACCCCAGACATCCGGTTCATCCGTTCCTCCCTTGTCTCAGAGCCCCCTCATCTCTCTTTTTCCACCTTGTTCACTTTCTCTCTGGTCTACGCGAGCAGGGCAAGAAAAAATGAGAAAAAGCAGGAGGCAGAGAAATAGAGAGGCGAAATGAGAGCACGAGAGAGGAAGACAGAAGCTGAGGCGAAAGTGGCAATAAAATAAATGACTTGCACCTTGGAAAGGAAAAAAAAGAGAAAAGATTGTGAGGGTGGTGGGGTAGGGGGCTGGGTTGAGAGCCGATTTAGCCAGCCACCCATGAAGCTGATTAGGCAGCCTGCGATCAGGAGGAACAGCTTTGCTTGTTAAACTTTTCACCTCTGCGAGCTCTCAGCCCTCACCGCGTTAAGGCCTCCCCCCTCCTCCCGCCTCTCTATCCCTCCATCCCTCTATCTATCGCTTTCTTGCTCCTTCCGCCTGGTAGAATTTGAATGTGAATGCTGGCCATGGTCCCCATAGCAGGCTTAGCATGGGGGGCAGGCAGCTGCCCCTCCACGCCCAACCACCCCCTGGGCTGTCTGCTCTCTCTCGCTCTCTCTCTCTCTCTCTCTCTCTCTCTCTCTCTCGCTCTCTCTCTCTCTCTCTGGCTCTCTCTGGGGGTCACAGGTTCAACCACCGGCCGGTGCCTGGAGGGATGGCCACAGGATGATAACACACATGAAGGGCACTTGGGGAGAAAGGGAGGGGCGGAACGAGAGAGAGGGGAGAGGCAGACATGAGCAGTTTGTTCATATTCAATGAAAAGAAAAGAAACTGGGGGAAGAAAAGGCTCGATGAGGAGAGAAGGTGTAGAAGGGGAGATCTCTCACTTTCTCAGGGGAAGGTATGGGAGTAGGAGCGATGAGACACGTGAGAGAGCTGTGTCAACGTAGAATGTGAAGCAGAACCTCAGGTAGCCATTTACATCATGGACTATATCTTCAAATACTTTTCATACCACCTCCGTCTCTGGTTTTACACCTGTGTACCTCTGATGTATACATACACCAACTTGTAGCTATTTCTGGATGTATAACACAATGTAACACACAATACTGTGGCGCAAGTTGACCCAGGTTAATTTCTTTGGCTTGATGGCAAAATAATTTTTACAGTTATTTTTCTATTTATTTGTGTTTTAATTATTTAATTGTATTTAAAATTTCACTTTGGTTGACCTGTTGTTTTAAAAAGGCCTGATTACTCCTGTAATTTCAATTGTCCACAGTGCTGATGTACTCCTCCATGACTACATGCTACCTGCACAGACTGCATTTATAACTGTGTGCACAACTGTCTTGTTCATTTATTGTTGTACAGCCAAATAAAGTGAGAGACCTGCAGGTGATTTTAGTTTCACTCAGACCTCCTTAATTTAGAGAAGAAGTGAAAGAAAAAATATCTATAGTCGCTTATAGTCGCGGAGTAATCTAGATGTTCTCCTTTTTAAAAATTAATAGCATCACTTTATGACACGCTTTCATGATGATAAGTTAAAATGAACAATTATTGTCTTATAGGTTTTTTAGTTGCTGTGTGGTGCACATTTAAAGTACCTAAAGGCTGATCTAGATATTTTGATGCTGGGAAATTTGAATAAAACAAGAACAACTGCAACCCACAACGTCATGATTTTCATGAGTGCCAGAAAACAACCTAATTTATTGTGAACTCAGCCCACAGTCAGCATTTGAGCTCGTAATGTAAGTGGGCTTGGGTTGGATGGGAGGTCACTTGCGGAGCCGCAAATGCCGCTGACGGAAGTGAATTTAGGGTCAGTCTGAGTTTCTGTTTGTTGTGAAGAAACCTTTTCACACAGTTCTGCACTATCCTGTTCTCACCACACAACATGTACACACACACTCACATGAGCAGACCCACTAAACTCACTTTCATAAGTCTCTGATCATTTGGCCAGACGCTGAGCGAGCTGATTAGGTGGTGCATGCCCAAACTGCCAAGTCTGCTTAAAAGGGCACTGAGTGGGCACCACATGGGCACCCCACAAAGCTGTGTGTGTGTGTGTGAGAGAGTGTGTGTGTTTGAGAGTGAGAGGGTTTGCGTGTGCAGGGGTATGCATAATGGAACTGGAACAATTAGTCAATTAACTGACTGATGGAAAATTGATCTGCAACTATTTGAATAATCAATTAATTATTTAACTCATTTTTGTTGCACAATTGCCAAATTCCCTCGTTCTAGCTTCTCAAATATCACAATTTGCTGTTTTTGCTTGTCTTATTTTACAACATTACAACTGAATATCTTCGGGTCTTGGACTTTAGGAAATTGTAATGAAAAATATTAATTAAGAAAATAATTAAAAGATAAATCAATGATGAAAATAATTGTTAGTTTCAGCCCTCATGCGCAGATTACTGCACTGAGATGTGGGATACTCCATAAGAATTTATATAGGTGTGTAGAGTTATCAAATGGGTGTGAGTGTGTTCCTGTGCCACTATATGACCACCTAATGAGGGAAGGCATTAAAACTACTGTAGTTTCACACTAAGTTTCATGCATGTTTCATATCGGGAGGTATTTTTTTTCCAATTACTGCCCCTTCTTTTGTTTTTACTTTTAATAACAAGGTTGATGAACAGCTGCTCTTCACTACACATTACCTTCATCTAATTTGTCATGCTGCTGGTATGATGTTCTTGACAGGGTTTTCAAATTAAAGGTCCGCTGAGAGAAATGATAACATTTTCGAAATTGTCGGCCTGTGTCTGTCTGTAGGCAGTCGGCTGTATTGAAATACTGATAAGATTAGAGAAAATATTCTACCAAACTATATTCTACCAAGCAAATTTTTTGAGTTGGTGTCGTTAAAGCTTTTCATGCTTTTGTGCTTTTCAGATGCAGAGAGAGGGAAAAGAAGCGTACGATGAGAACATCCACTATCCTCTCCTCATCACCCTGACCAAAGGACCTCAACCTGTCAGCCACTCTCAGTAAACCAAAACAAGTGAGCCCTCATCTCCACACAGCACCACTCCACATGCTTTTGGATATTTGAGATGGAATGATGCTACAGAGTCGTGTCAACAACGTGATCCACATGTGATCTAAGTGAGGGGGAAGAATTGCACTGGAAGAGCAGTATTAGAATACAGTAGGGTTGCGTTTGTCTCAGTGTTTAGTTAAATTGAGAAAGAGAGAAAATCAAGTTGTCGGCGTTTTGAGACATTTTTATATTTACATCGGCCGCTGAGAGGATTTCTCACCAGATGGTGCAGAGGATATTTGAGTGTGCATGTTTTATAGTTTGATGTGCTGCTGAAGAACAACCTCATTTCCAAAGCAGCAGGGATACATTTACTGTAGCTGAGGGGAAAACAGAGATGGATATATTTATAGCTAGTAGGTTTAACCATGTGCCATGTTGTAAAAAACTTCAGTCAGCCTTTTAATCAGGTGGCCTGTCATAACAGTAGTTGACAAGACACCTGATCACTCCTCTACTCATCCATTTGGTACCTCAACTATCCAGGAAAGTGAACCACATTGCCACATTGTCAGGTAACCGTCAGTACTTCACCTCACCCCGGCCAACAAACCAGTCAGTTGTTTTGTCAGTTAACTAGCTGTTCAGTCAGTCAGGGATATGGACATTTCCTCAGTCAGTCGTACTGTAGGTGTTAGTTATTCAGTCAGTTGGCCCTCTTTAACCAGTCGGTATGAACTTCTGCCTCTGATTTTTTTGGCCCCAGCACTGAGGCCAGCTCTTATTCATTAACTGTCACAGACTGTAGAGCAGCACACAGTTTCCTCTACGTTGTCTTTATTTCTCTTTGTTCCCTTCTTCTCCCGCTTTAAGTTCCTCTAATACAAGTCATTCACCCAGTCAGAGGTCAGTATTAAGAATTTCTTTTATGCATTAATTACACCAGTGCATTAACATAGAGACTAATGAGCAGTTGTTGCAGCTCAGGAGCTACAGCTCGCACAGTACACAGTAACATCGCCATGGATACAAGTAGTCCACACCACATTATATTTTGATTTAATTTTACACAGCTCTGTTGGTGTTATAATCGCGGTTTGAACTATTCAACAGACACTTGTTCTGACTCTATAACCCAACCAACATCACCTTCAACCCCTTCTCCACACGTGGTTTATTAAAAGAGTTTGCTGCACGCTGTTAAAAAGCTCCAAGTCTGAGTCCAGCTTCAGGAAGAGCGAGTGAGTCTAAAGAGTGACAGAGAGAGAGAATACATGCACACATTTATTGACAAGTGACCCCAATACTGTGGAATAGTTTAAAAAAAATCCATGAGATTTCTTTGCATCTTTTTTGCTTCTTTCTTCATTTTTTTTATAATGCAGACCTCTCAATGGTTTCTTACCTCCAATGTCCACTGGCCCTGTGACCGAAGCTTCTCGCTTCACACATGCCAGATCTGTTTCTGAGGCTGCTCATGCACATATTGATAATTGATTGAAATTGCTTGTTTATGTCACCTCTTCTTGCTTTTCTTTCTGCTAATATACACTATTCAGAAAATCTGAACGAGATACAATAAGTAAAGTGCAGCCACAAAGTATGTTACTACAATGACAAAAAATGAGCTGCAAATGTGTTTTCAGTATGAGTGTAAAACACAAAAAAAATTCTTCAAAACAGTTGAAAATCAGCTGAGGAACAGAACACAACGCAGCCACATCCAGTGGACGTCCGTAGTTAGAATATGATTTCAAATTGATAAACTATGTGCAATCATAGTTTTCTATCAACACGGTTTTACTCAGGTCTTTTCCCTTGCATTCAGCTGCTCCTTCTTGTTTCTTGCGATCTTAAAACGACGCCAAGTGTCAGTGGGTCATTCGAGCCTAAAGCTGTACCTGTCACTATTAAGGTGTTTCCATATTTCACTGTGATCCATTGCTGTGTACAACAGCCAAGAAGCTATGCAGTATCTCCCAGTGGCTGCTGTTTACATTCCTCATGTTAAAAAAAAATAATCCACCTTCAAAAATAAAAAAAAAGTATTCCCTTTGTGTAACTACTCTGAAAAGTAAATTAAGCCTTTTTTTATCAGTGGTCTCAATGCTTTGAGGACTTAAATTGCATTGCAAAGGTTTAGAAGTGTATTTAATTACATTTTTATCTGTAATGCAGTTTGCTGTATACCTTTGATATCTGTGGGCTAACACATAAAAACCATCCCAACTGTGACTGTGAGCAGCGACTTCATCACTGTCTGGTGTGACGTCACCACCGTTAACAGTGATGTCATTTTACAACCATTTTACTGTGACATCTGCGCTGCATTGCTGCTTCTTGCGACATCACTGCCTCTGTTAGCGGCAAACCCCGTCACGCGGTGCGCCCACCAGCTGTTGTGATGTCCCGTTTTCACGTGGTGATGCCGTCACTTCCTGTTGTGATAATAGTGCTGTATGCGAGGACACTTACCACTTCTCACTGTGACATCAGCGGACAGACGAGAATTCAGAGAAAGTCGTGAGATCTTTGTTTGGATTTGCTAATATCAAGTGAGAAATCCAACAGTTGGTATAGAGAAGACCACAGAGGAGCTCTGTTCCAACAGATTTTTGACACTATATTGTGGGATGTTCTAAACTATTATTTTGATTATCAAATTTTGAATTGTTGGTCATTGCAGGCCATGTCCACACTACTCCAGATCAATTTCTAATTGGATCTACTTTTTTTGGCCTTCTTTCTGCACTCAACCACCAAAACCTGAACATGTCGAACAAGTTGAAGCTGCTTCTGTAACATTTTGCTGTGTAGGGACAGCGGACATTTTCAAATATACTGATGTAAAATTAGCATGCGGTCTGGTGTGAAGCTGCGGGCTCAATTGTTCTGTGCATGGTCTAATACAATAGCTTTAAGCTTTTTATATTGTTTTGGAGGTTTTGGTGACATAACAGAAGAAACTGAAAACTGTAGATACTTCAGTGAAATATTTCAGTTTATTTACTTCAGTGTGGACATGGCCTAATATAGTGAGTTTCAGTCTATTAAATTCCCTCTGCTCCATTGTAATCAGCGGGTTGAATGTTGTACTTTGCAGTGTAAGAGTGTGTGATTCTCTTCTTTTGGTGAATGAATAAAAATAAATACATTTTCTTCAAGAAAACTTGGATTCTGGACTTTATTTCTTTTTGATTTGTCCATTTCAAAATGTACAAAGAACAATGTAATAATTCAGCTAGAGTTATGGCTTTATTTCAGTAATAAAACCTTGTTCAAACCTTGTACAAATTATTTCATTACATTCACAAAAATAAACAAAAAAAAAAACAATTTACACCTTGCTTGTCACCTTGCATATTAATAGATTTCTCTAATATGTTTTTCCTGAATGAATGTGCATTACAGGGGAGGGGAGGGAGGGGAGGGGGGGGGGGGCACAAGCTTGCTTGTGAAAAACGTGTGTTACATTATTAAAAATCCAGTGTTGAATGCTCACAGATGTAATAAAGTTTCCTTCAGGCCCAGATCGGCTGTGGCCTGTGATTCAAACACAATGGCCTCCTGTAGGCTAAGCTGGTGCCAGACAAGGTAACACACACAGATACACACACTTAGTGCTCACACACATATATCAAGACCAGTCAACAGTCTACTTCTCCACAGGAAGAAAAGAGAGAGGGATAGAGGAGGGAGGGAAGGCAGTACACAGCAGCTAATCCTGCAGGCTCACTCTTCTGTTTATCAGTCAGAAGGAGGGAGGGAGAGTTAGTAGAAAGGGAGGGACCAGCAAGGCCTCCTGATCTGTCTTTTGATATTTTAAAGAGGTCTGTTCTCTCCTCCCCAACACTCTGCCAGAGAGACAGAGAGGGGAGATAGAAAAAGCTGCAGACAGAGGCAAGGAGAGAGAGGGAGAGAGAGAGAGAGAGAGAGGCTGAAAAAGACAAGAAGCCAGAGGAGGAGGAGAGAAAAGAAATGGGGAAAGACACCCTGAATGGCTGGAGGGAAAGGCGAAATGAGACAGCTGGAAATGAGGTGAAACTAGATCGAAACAGCGGGGAAAAGCTTCACCCATGAAAGAAAAGAGAAGCTGACTGAGAGACTGAGATTGACTGACCGAGTGAGTGATCGAACAGAGAAAAAGAGAGAGACAGAGTGCTCCCAGCTCGACACAAGGGCCCCATTAACTTGACCACTTGCCCTTTGCACACAAAGGCAGGGCCGGCCCACTGCCCCTCCCACCCAATTATCCACGATTAGGCTCAGTGCACTGTGTCAAGATGGAGAGGGAAGGAAAAGAGGAGAGGGGGAGAAAGGCGAGCACAGGGAGGAGGGAGAAAGGGAAAGAGAGCAAGGGCTGGAAGGAAGTGAGGGGCGGATGGTGGTGGAAGACAACAAAATTGTTAACATGGAAAGATTCAAACATTGCTAATGTGGTGGAGAAAGCTCAACGCAGTTCCCCCTGGAAACTTCTCACTTGAAACTTAAGATTTCCTATATATCATCATTTGCTGTCTCAGTTTGCTTTTGTTTGATTTATTTCCAGATTTCTTTCTAAATGAAACGTGTTGTTTTTTCCATTACTTGTTCTCTGTTTGCATGTGTTTTCTTAAATCTACAATTATTCATTGTATGGCCACTTTGGAGCAGTGAGATAAGCTGTAAACACAACAATGACATAATATTACCTTGTTAAGTTGATATGTTGAATGTAAGAGCACAGTTAAAACATTAGGATTCATTTGATGTGTTTCTGGCCATATTGGACAATTTAAGCCCAATATTCACCCTCCTTTGTCTCTGTTTTGGTCTGGACTACTCCTGAGGGAAGTTTCTGTCAGTTTAGCTGCTGAATTCTCCACTATGTTCATCAGCTAGTTGCTAACTTTGTCTGGCTGATGTTTAGTGCTGGGTAGGTAGCGTACAGTTGGTTTATTAGAGCTTTGGTGCTGATAACAGCTGCCTCAGTGAACCAAAGCTGTAAAACCAAAACAACAAGCTGAAAGACACTTGAAAGCGTGAAAGACCAGAGTCCGATGATAACTCACTCACATTAGTCTTAAATACATTAAGCCCTGTTGGCCACTGTGTATGTATAAAAATGTGTATGTGCAAATTTTTCAACTTTTGAAAAGCAGGCAGGGCAGCTGGAAACCAACATGGCCACCCCCTGTGCCCCAGTGGCACAATATCCTCTGTTTGCATCCTACCATCCCACAAACACACAAACAGAGCAATGGAACCCACCTCCTGATACACAGCATCTACCCCCGCTGGTCACAGTTGCATGCCAACAGCTCTGGTATACTGACACACACATAGACAAATGCAAAGATCTTCCTCACTACACATTAACACACCATGGGCTCAGCTGCAGTCCAGACACGTTGTATCGTGTTGTGCTTTGTCGATACTCCAGCTAGCTGGCATCCCCAGGGCCTTGGCTTGGTTGCCACTACTGCATGACAGCAAATACGCACACATACACATTTGACACACTCTGTATATCAATACAGTTTCTGCCCTCACTTTGACTGGCATGTTTTTGGTGCCACAGTTCCTGCAGCTCTCTAAAATGTCTTAACACGTCTTAATTTTTGATTTTGAAATACAAGGGCAAACAGCAAGTGTTTAATCTGATCTGGGCCAAATGGATTGACTGTTATTGTTAAGCCTGTGTATTTTACTTCATCTGTTTTCACTGACAAACTTCCTTGCTTTGTTTTTCTTTTTAGAGTTAAGTAGTTCAGAGGTCACTTCATAGGTGGCTGCCTGTTTCGCCATGACCTGATATATAATATAGAATATGTATGTGTGTTATATATATATATATATATATATATATATATAGACCACACAGTTTTCCCACACTCTACCAGGGCTCAGTGTCGAGCTACAGATGGTGTGTGTGCCAGGTGGGTTCAGGTGGTCAACTACACCAGTACACCTGTGACAGTTTGACCTGCACACTGTCACACACAAACACGAGTATACCAGAGGTTTCAGTGTATATACTGTATGTGTGATTGTATAGTGTGCGCATCTCACACTCCAACATGTTTACACGTCCCCTGCTCTGTTTTCTAACCCCCACCTCCCCTCCACCCCCCCCACCCCACATACTCTGTCCCATCGCCCAAAATCTCTCAAAACCTTTCAAGCCTTTTCCTCTCTCTTCTCCTCCTCAAGGCAATTTGAGGAGGGCTTTTTAAATGATCCGCTCATTATCGGTAGTGGAGTCACTTTGGTTTTTCAGCTCCGTCTGCTTGCCTTCCTGCTCAACCCCCTCCCCCCCGTGCCCCCACCCCACCTCTTTACCTCTCTGTGTTTTTTAAGGGGCTTTTTCTGCTTGCCCCTCCACCCCCACCCACCTCCCTCTCTTCCCTCCAGAATGGCTTTTTGGTCCGTTTGTTTGTGCTCATGAAGTGGAATGCAGCAAAGTCCCTGAGAGCATTTTTTTTTTTCTGTTTTTTTTAATTTAGAAAGCCATCGAGTATGAGTTGACGTGGCAGAGTGGGAGCTACCACCACCAACCCCCCACCGCATCGCACCCACATGCACACAAACACACACCACAATCACAGTCCTCCTCGTACACACACCTGATGCTGGCCTTGACGACAATAATGTTTTCCATTACAGGAGATGGAATTGAGAAATATGTGGAGGTGGAATTCTGTGGTATTAATATAGTCACCTGGAGCTGGGTGGAATAGGATACTGTCTATACAGAGTGGGAAACGTGTGGCTTTTACCCTGTTTATTACTGCGTATCTTTTAAAGGAACAAGCTTTTGTCACTTATGGATGTGTTTCACACACGTAAACACTCAAAATCAGTTCTGTGTTGACTCCCACTTGTTCTCTCTGAGGCTTTCCTGGCTCTATAGGCTGCTTGTATTTATCCTCATTTACCTGTTCGGCCCTTCCATCTCTAATACCCATTAAACCTCTCCATTCGCATGTGCAGGAGGCTGAGTTGACTGACTGACTTATTAGCTGACTGACTGGAGCGAGCTGAGGTCAGTCTGGAGGCTGGCAATATACACACACACACACACGCTATTATATATGCACATTCAGTGGGTACAGTGATGCTTACACACAAGCTTATAGTAGGCTGTTAATTGAAGGGGCTGTGCTGTTGACGAAAGCCCTCAACTTATCGCTGATTAGGTCAGGCTTTTGGAAGTAAGAGACACGGAGCGAGAGAGAGAGAAAGGAAACAGACTGCGAGACATATAGAACGACACAAACGGTTTGTGTTGGTTGAGAGTCTCTCCTGTAAATGTTGACAGTCTCTTGTGGCAGTATTTACCCTACTTTTAATGGTAGAGGGCCGACATTAGCCACTGTAGGAGCTGGGCTGAATTAACACCTGCCTCTCTGCATACAAGCAGCTGCTCTCTGTGCTTTTGTCTGCCTGTGACTTTGTCAGTCAGTTAATCAGTGAGGCCATAATCAGCCTGTGAAACAGTGAGTTTTTCGGGGAGCCACCAAATCTTTACGTTTAATGAATGAGACAGCCAGTCAGTAAATTCAGCAACCAACCAAGCAGCCAGTTGTATTGCTCATGTGATTTTTTTGTACGTAATTATTTGATACAACAATTAAACCAGGCTCCCTGTTGATATCCAACTAATATTTTCAATGAGAAAATTAACATGTATATTTTTCAAGATTATTTACAAATTAAAATAAAAAAGTAATTCCATGCATAATTTGCCCCCTTGATTCATTAAAGACCCCCTCTAGGCAGGTATTAAGACATGTAGTATAAAAATACTCTGCTTGGAATGTCTGATGTTGTTTTTTTTTTTTCCACAAAACATTTGTTTAGTCTGAGTCTACATACATACACCTTACGTCTACATCTGCATTACACCTTCTCTCTACTTCTTCCCCCTCACTGAAAGACCCTGAATCAATGAATATGTAAATATTTGTTATTTCTAAAGTTTAGCTGCTGGACACAAAAGATCTCTGAGATTTCAGGTGAGCAGCAGCAGCATGTGAAAACAGCCTTCTGGTGTCAAACTCACCACAGCATACAGCACATCACGCTGCAGAGTGAAGGCCAAGCAGCCAAGTGAAGCAACAATGAGCAGAGCACATTTTTGACTGTATGGAAGCTTTA